GCGCGTTCAGCCTGAATCAGTGTTACTTCGGTCTTTCTTTTGAATCTGTCCAAATATTGGTGGGGTTTGGAATCCAAAACCAATCCTAGATCATTTTCAAATCACCATAATGGTGAAATTTTCAAGTAAACTCAATATACCAGCGAATATCAAAGGAAACTACGAATAATAGACAAACTATTCAGCCTGAAATCCAAAAATATATCCATAAGAGCCTTGTTACCCTCAAAAGGGAAATAAACCAAAAATTACTTCAGAAAACAAAAGACTAAACTACAAAAACTTGCCATCCCTCTTTCCTAATTCAATTCAGCGTCTGTTTTAATAACATTTCCCGCAGCTCTTTCACATCCCTTTGATGGCATTTTCTCTGTGAACGGCTCTCTCCCAGACAACGCGTTTGAAAGAGACAGGAGAAATCGGCTGAATATATACGTGTATTCTTCCGAACTTTCTGTCTCTCTTCCTCATACCTGTTTGCTCTCTGGTGCATGAATAAAGGACAATGAAGTGGATATCTTTTATTTTTTATTGCTGCAGCATACTTCCGACTTAGTCAAGGAGCAAGACTTGGAATGGGTTTGACCAAATCCAAGCTTTTGGTAATCTAATGTAGTTAGTTACATGAGTCGAATCGACTTTTTTTTCTTTGAAGTCCTCAGAAACATTCCCCATTTCGTTGATTTAAACATTTTTTTCATATGAATTTCTTGGTGAAATCATCAATATAACAACAGTGCATTAGATATTTACGTTACGATTACGACCCTAACGACGAAGTTGTTCTTGATGGATACAATAATGATGGAACAAGTTATAAGTTATATTCAAATATATTATTCATTTGGAAATATCTACAAAAAATTAGGAAAGACAAAAATAAAAATAGGACAAAGTAGAAAGGGACACAGGAAACACAATAGGAAAGGACAAAAATCGATTTACTTTGCAAAAAATGGAAAATAATATGGATTGGAGTCGATCACAAAGTGATTTGGATAAATGAACTGAAGTAAATAAATGGGTTTGTCCTGAAGAAAACAAGTTATTGTGACCTGAAGTGAATATTAATTAATAATGGTTTGAACAATAAAGAAAATATCAATTATAAACATCCAGTAAAGAGTGAAATAACGATTGAGCAAAATGAAGACACAAGATGAATGAAAAAAAAAATACAAAAAGTAGAAAACAAGATAAAAATATGAAAAAAATTTCAAACCAATTTACTTGAAGCAAGAAAAAACTATGACAGTGCCATAATTTCGAAAAACTTCACATTAATAACCAAAATAATAAATAGAACACCAGAAGGAATGAGTGTAATTGGATTTGTTAATGTTCAGCGCCACACACATTAAGTAATATAAGAAACAAGCTGATTTCAGAAGAGAAATATTTTTCATGAAAAAAGTAGAAAAAAAACTCATCCAAAGGACTGCGAAAGATGAATGAAAAATGAGTTTTTAGTGGATTCGTTCAATGTACTCATTGTCTTATTAGCGCATGGACTAAATTCTCGACGACGGTGGCTTCACATTGGTACGACATCGATTTGTATGCGGTATGGATTCTAACACTTATTTAAAATCAGTGTGAAAGGAATGTGAAAACCTCTGTGCCTAAAAATACTGATTTTGGCAAGCACGTGAACTGTATTGCGATGAGTATTGCGACTGTATTGATTATATTGATTATAAATGAACAATTTTTCAAAAAAGTCACGCAAAACTGATTTTTCCATACTAGTGTCATACATATTTGTTGAACAATTTAAATTACTCTGTCCCCGATAATAAAAAAACTACAATGTGAAATTTCAACTTGACAGTTCACAGAACCACGAGACGTGTTTCGCTATAAGGTAGCATCTTCAGGTGTCACAATACTGTATTGTGACGCTCAATACTGTATTGTGTACCCAATACAGTACACAATAAACTATTGTGACGTAATAGTATCTTCAGGCGTTGTATATCATCGATAGCCGCGACACGTGTTGTGCTATACGATAGCATCTTCAGGCGTCACAGTATTGTGTTCAGTATTGTGACGCTCAATACTGTATCGTGTACACAATACAGTATACAATACAGTATTGAGATCACATCTCCGGGCGTCGTATAGCGAAACACGTGTCGCGACGGCACGTGCACACAATACAGTATTGAGCGTCACATTTTGTGTACACAATACAGTATTGAAGCGTCGTATAGCGAAACACGTATCGCGACGGCACGTGTAGACAATACAATACTGTACTGTGTACTATATTGTACACAAAAGGTATTGTGACGCGATAGCATCTCAAAAAGTCGTGCTCCGACACATCTTTTGCTATACCATAGCCTCTTCAGACATCACAATACTGTATTGTGTACAGTAGTGTACCGTTCAATACTGTATTGTGTACAGTATTGTGACGTTCAATACTGTATTGTGTACATAATACAATATTGGGCGTCACAATACTGTACACAATACAGTTGAAATCCTACACTGAGGTGTTTTTTGATTACGTTATAGTCGACAAATCACTTCTATCATATTTTTGAAAGAAAATAATAGGCAGTTTGGTCACAATGAGAGTAATACGTATCTCCCAAGGGTTCTATGTTACTTCGCCTGCAATCCCACGAAGTTATAATTCAATAAGTATAAACTTGATGGGGAATTGTGAACATAGTTAGTGCCTATAACTTTCTATTAGAATTAGTGAAACTACGAGGAAGTAATTCGTTCCAAGTTAAGGCATCGCATTTGCAGAAACGACTACGATAATTACAACCATAACAAACGCCGTAAAAGGCTTTGCATCCGACTCGAACTTACAACTTGACTGTCTGCAAGCTGAATAACGATTGACATAACTTTAGCTAGAAATGGTTCGCAATAAATCCGCCATTCCTGCACAGTTTGAGCCTGTATTTTTATTTGAAAGGGACACGATAAAATTAATAAAATGATATAGCATAGCCAATGAAAATATGAAGTGGAGGAATGTGAATGTTCGGAATCAGTTATCTAATAATAATGATAATAATAGCATTTTAAACAAAGATATGTTCAAGCATAAGCAATGATGAAGGGACAAGAGAAAAATAGAATTCATAAGATTCACATTCTGTGAAATGGTTAAAATACTAACAACAAAAAAAAGCAATAAAACAAATAGATAAATAACTGCATTTCAAAAAAATACTCCAATTCATGGAAACTGCCGTTGAGTTGAAACTGAGGGATCTTAGAGTTTTTTATTATTCAACGGAGCAAGCCCAGTACATAACATAAATAATTACAGATTGTGACAATTACAAAGATATATCTAACAATAATAGCAATAATTTTAAGATGTTTACAGACATTACACATCTGATTATACATAAAATATACGATTTGAATTGATGAATAGCTTAAATGAAATTGAAGACAATTTGGAGAGACAACTACAATGATTATGTTGAACCTTTGATAACATCTTGAGGGTTAAGACCTGATATGGTGTATTGGTTATTCTTTATAGCTGTTCAACCCATAATTATAGCTTGAATAATAATATCTTGAGGGCTAAAATCAAACACGATGAAATTGCTATACTCAATGGTTGTTAAACTCATAATAATATCTAGGATATATTGCCTGGATTCAATGATTGTTAAACACATAACATCTTGAGGGTTGAAACCAGACATGATATATGGGCTCAATGGCTCAAAGGTTATCAAAATCATAATAACTTCTTGAGGCCTGAAATCAGACAGGATCCATAATTACATCTTGAGGGTTAAGACCAGACATAATGCATTGGATATACTCAATTATAATAGTCCCATAATAAAATCTTGTGGGCTAAAACCAGACAGGATGTATTGGCTGTAGTACTCAATGGTTGTTGAACCCATAAGAACATCTTGAGGGCTAAAACCAGGCAGGGTTTTGGGTGTAGTACTCAATAGTTGTTGAACCCATAATAACATATTGAGGGTTGAAACCAGACATCATATATTGGCACAGTGATTGTTTGACACATAATATTGTGATGTGGGCTTAAACCAGACAGAATGTATTATATACTCAATAATTGTTAAACCCATAATACCATATTGAGGGTTAAAACCAGACATCATATATTGGCTCAATGATTGTTGGACACGTAATAATGTAATGTGGGCTAAAATCAGACAGGATGTATTGGCTTAGTCAATCATTGTTGAACCTAAAATATTTTTAGAGCTAAGATATATTGGATATACTTAATGATTGTTATACCCATAATAACATTTCGAGGGCTAAAACCAGACAGGATGTATTAGCTTAGTCGATCATTGTTGAACCCATAATATTTTTAGAGCTAAGATATATTGGATATACTTAATGATTGTTATACCCATAATAACATTTCGAGGGCTAAAACCAGACAGGATTAATTGGTTATACTCAACCCATAATGAAAATATTTCGGAGCATGTAAATGGCTGGATATCAGACATATTCATGAAAATATGTTTCAACAGTGTCTTACAGTTAGCGATCTGTATATAAAGTTACTGTTTTCAGCAATTTCATACTCGATAATTCATTTACCAAGCAATATTAACCCGTTACTCACATACAATTATCGTAAAAATCCAGTTATATTCTTCATAATTGCACATTTTTATGTTTAGAAATTCGTCACATCGTGAAGACATCTGGTATTTCTGTTATTGCTTCAAGAAATACAGGGTTATTGAACTTAAAGTATTGTTATAATACACTGAAACTTGTCAATTTATAGGACTACATTCTTCGCAAAAGATTCAGGCACTTCCCTGTGAAAGTAGGTTGAATGCTAGTTTTGTAAATTTGCAAGATTTTTTCAAAATGTGAGAGGTATTCCTTGATTGCTTCTAAAACCTAATGAAAATTTTAATATTTCTGACAGAATATCGAAATATCTTTGGGTTCATTCACTTCACGAAATAAATGTCTCATTTTTGATAATTTTTTTATTGTTTCAGGACAAGCCAATGAGATTCTTCTACCGAATCTTCACCCCTATGAAAATAAGGCCAATCAAGATCGTTAATACTGCCGTCGTGGGCGGAGAAAAACAACTGCAAATAGTACCTGTCAAGTCAACTTCAGAGGCCCCAAAACCGCCACCTAGTCCCAAGGAAGAAAAAGTGGAAAAGAGTGATAACAACGAAAACATGTTGGAAGAAACCGAAGATCAAAGGAATCGCAAAGAAAGATTATTCGCTCACCTACAGCTGCAAAGTAAGAGTCAAGTAGAAAAAGACGCCAAAAAAGTACCTGAAAAACCTAACAAAGTGTGCGTTTATGAGTATGAGGAACCTGATGAGGACGAAATAAAGAAGTTCGCGGAAAAGAGGGATAGGGAATGGGCGCTTCAAAAGAAGCTGGACGAATCGAAGAGGAAAGACGAGGAATACGCAGTGCACCACAGCAGCAAGAAACGAAAGAAAAGCAAGCACTCTAAAAACGAATTCAACGTTCACAAAAAGAGAAAGCTTCACGCCGAGATAGCTTCCAATGAGGAGGAACTGAAACTGACTGTGAAAATCACAAATAACGGTCACAAACATAAACATCATAAAAGTTCAGCACAGTCCGGAGAGAAGCCCCACTCCTCTGATAGCAGTTCGAAAGAAAAACTCTTGCAGATGCGACAAGTGAGACACAAACACCTTTCCAGTGAGGACAAGAATATGCAAACTGTTCCAAGCATTACACTATCTAAAGATTCTAGCGCTATCCCGGAAAAAATCAAAATTGATAGCAATGGTGAAGCGATTAAGGAAAATGGAGAATCCAGAAAAGTCGCTTTGAAGGGACAGGAAGAAATCAAAAAGTTCAAAATCAAAGTGCCCGAGCCCTCGAGCAATGTAAGTGAGTCAGCAGTGTTGCCCAAGCAGAAAAGTGAGAGTAACAGTACAAGTCCGAAGGTCGGCACCTTTTTGGAGCCTTCAAGTTCCAAATCAGGTTTTGCTGTGACAAACACTTCTGAAAAGGAATGGGGCAAGAAACTCCCAACCGTTCACATCGAGAGAGATAAGAAAACTGAGAAGCAAGCCCAGAAGACATTTCTTAAGTCTTTTCATGCTTATGCCGAGAAATACCAACGAAACGAGAAAATCCAGCAGAATAAAATCGAAAACGCGAAAATCAAACAAATGAACATGGCTACAAATAAAGTTCAAGATAAAGTAATTCAAATGGCATCTGAAAATAATAAGATATTAACAAACAAACAGCTAGAAAGAAAAATAGCTAATTTGCAACAGCACTGCACCATTAAAGCCAAGGCACCAGAAAGGATAGAAAAGAAAGTAGGACTCAATAACGATAAAGTGAAAATTATGACCCCCCACTATCCCCCCGGATTTACGGTGAGCAAAATAGAGCAAGGCGTCAAAAGGAAATCCGAGGATAGTGAAAAGATCCAAGATAAGAGGCCAAGTCTCGAGATTACTCTCATAAGCCCCCCTACTAATAGCCCCATGCAAGTCAACCCTAAGCCTCAAGAGAAGACATCTGTCAAGAGGCCACCACCTGCCACAATTCCTCTGGAGAAAATCAAAAAGTCTGTCAATCTGAAGTCTGGTATCAGTATCATACCAAAAATGCCGGAAAGATGTGACAACATAGCTCCGTTGGACCTTTCAAAAACTGGAAAATCGCCGGACAATTCCCCTAGAAGCTCTCCCAAAATTGAAAACACGAACGGCTTCGCCGTAACCAGCAACAGACAGCTCAATGCTTTGAGTAGGCCCAACGATAAAAGTAACATGGGCTTGTCCAATCTTCAAATGCTGTCCAAAGTTGCTACGGAGCACTCTAGCTTGAACAGCAAAACACCTCAATTCACCAGCTTGATGATGAATAGGCCGCAAATACCGAATTTACAAGCTTTGAAGGTTCCATCTATGCAAAACCCTGGGCAAATGAAGACACCGAATCTGCAAAAAATGCCAAAACTGAACGAAATTCACAAGTTCAGGCCAACCAACGCCCAAATCCGGAATCTGCGCCCCAATCAGAACCAAAACATCAGGAATATTCCAAATCCCAGTCTCCTGATCAGGCAGAACCAAAACAGGCTGAACTCGCAGATCACGATTCATCCAACTTCCGCCGAGAACACGGCTAAATCGATCCCAACTGGTTCACCGGCTACTACTTCATCCACCTCAGTTCCCAAAGAAACCACGATCAGTGCCGTTAAGAACGTTTTGGAATCCAAATTGCAAGAGAAAAAAGAAATTTCAGTATGAACGGAAAAGTTTTGACTGGACTGCCGGAGATATTATGGAAGGAAATATGTGATAAAGTGTTGAGTGCGGTACAAATTGGTTTAATAACGTAATGAAGATTCTCTGTATTGATTTACAATATATGTCGTTAGCGATTGTAACACTCAACGCTGCATAGCGGGAACTTGTTCTTGGTTCTTGTTGTGAATCTCAGAACCATCCACCTTTGAAAATCGATGGAATAAAAATTGCTGTCAACTGGAAGGTGACTCTAATCTAGCGAGACGAAGAGCGTCTCAGTCCTTGGTCCAATGTTATAAAGTTATGAAACATGGAATGCAAGACCTCTAGCCCCAAAAGTTTTTTTTATCTTCCATACAATCGTCGAAAGCCTCAAATTAGCCACCAACCCCAGATTTTTTCCTCATTCGAGGAATTGGGGGACTCGAATATGCACTTGGTTAGTACCTCGTTTACGGGTAGGTGGAGCGATGACAAATATGTTGTTGGTCGTTCGCTCCAGCTTTGTTCGAGGAATGATACTCTGAAAGGGATTCGATTTTTAAATATGGAAAAGCATCGACTTCGTGTTGATAATGAAAACAACCTTGAACTGATGAGAGGCCAAATAGCCCAAAACTGGCTTGCAAGTGTGCTCGTTCCAATGAATGAGAATCGATTCCGGCTATTGTATCGCCAAAAGCATATGCAGGAATTACTCCTGTCAAGAATCCTGCACTGACACCTATCGGTTATAATCCAACGCCCTTCGTGGTATTAGCCAGGGGAGTAGTTGTTTTCTGATAAGCGTCAGTCCATTAATCTACAGTTTGTGTGAGTTGGGACTGACCGGAATGAACTGTTCTTTTCGATAATTCATTTCCCCAAATGGCATAGCCTCGTAAGCAGATAAAGTTGTCTTCTTTATGATTCTGCTGTTTAAGTCAATGATTCTGACTGTTTCTTCGAATAAGTCGTGTGGGGCAGTGGACCCATGCAAGTTTTATTGTGGAATATTGTCATTTCTGCTTCAAGAAATTCATGATGCAGCTTCTGTTTCAATATCTCTTTCTAATCAATTGTGGCTAGGTCACCTAGATCATTTCGTTGACCGAATTTTCTAGAAATTGCTACAAATATATCAGGGCTTGATATGTTTCGGTCTTCTTCGGTTACAATCTCTAAACGTTTCAACTGCAACTGCGGCAGCCATCTTCAGTATCGTGGTCAAAGTACTCTTCTTGACGTACCAACTGGATCAGTTTCAGTTGATACGTTCAGAAGAGTAAGGCACTGAAGATGACTGCCCCAGTTGAAGTTGAAACGTTTCGAAACTGTAACCAAGAAGACCATGACAAACCCCGGAAATCAACCAAAACGTTGACTCCAGCCGTGTAAGCATACATTTCTATATCAGGGCTTGATACTGGATGACTTTTTAAGAGGTATTTTAAAAAAATTGATGAAATATTTATTGGGATCGAAGAATAAGTCGTGTGGGGCAGTGGACCCATGCAAGTTTTATTGTGGAATATTGTCATTTCTGCTTCAAGAAATTCATGATGCAGCTTCTGTTTCAACATCTCTTCCTGATCAATTGTGGCTAGGTCACCTAGATCATTAAGTTGACCGAATTTTCTAGAAATTGCTACAAATATATCAGGGCTTGATATGTTTCGGTCTTCTTTGGTTACAATTTCCAAACGGTTCAACTGCAACTGCGACAGCCATCTTCAGTATGGTGGTCAAAGTACTCTTCTTGACGTACCAACTGGATCAGTTTCAGTTGATACGTCAAGAAGAGTAAGGAACTGAAGATGACTGCCCCAGTTGAAGTTGAAACGTTTCGAAACTGTAACCAAGAAGACCATGGCAAACCCCGGAAATCAACCAAAACGTTGACGCCAGCCGTGTAAACATACATTTCTATATCAGGGCTTGATACTGGATGATTTTTTAAGAGGTATTTTAAAAAAAATGATGAAATATTTATTGGAATCGACAGAACTATCAATATAATTTAATGTTTGAAAATGATTTCATGCAAATGTTGTCCGTGGCTCCGTTTTAGATGGCCCATGCGCAAGGTCCAATTTTGGCACACTCTCTCTAACATATCGACCGGTATTTCACGTATAAATGCTCCAATATTGGCTTCCAGAGCGTCAGTCGTTGCTGCTTTATCCCTGTAGACATGAGCCTTAACATGACCCCACAAGAAATAATCCAAAGGCGTTAAATCATATGATCTAGGCGGCCAATTGACGGACCCAAAACGTGAGATAAACTTTTCACCGAAGGCGTCTCTTAATTGGGCCATTGTTTCGCGTGCCGTGTGGCATGTGGCACCATCTTGTTGAAACCACATGTCAGGCATGTTCAATTCTTTCATTTTGGGTAACAAAAAGTCGTCAATCGTCACACGGTAACGCTTGCAATTCACAGTTACGCTCAGGCCATTGTCGTCTTTGAAAAAGTACGGCCTGATGATGCTACCAACCCGTAATCCACACCAAACAGTGACTTTTTCGGGATGCATCGGTAGCACTGCAAGCGCTGGTCTTCACTCTGGCTGGTCTTCACTCCTTATGCGGCAATTTTGCTTGTATCCGTTCAACCAGAAATGAGCCTCGTCGCTGAACACAATGTTTCAATAAAAATGTGGAGCTTCCTCCAACTTTGCCAGCGCCCATTCACCAAATGTTAAACGTTGTGGTGGGAGGTCGTGTGGCTTCAAATCCTGCACCAGATGTATCTTATAAGGTTTCACACCCAAATCCTTTCGCAAAATTTTCCACGTAGTGGAGTAACAGAGGCACAATCGCTGCGAACGGCGGCGAATCGACATTTCACGGTCATCACGAACACTGGCGAATACAGTCGCAAGATTTTCTTCGGTCCTCACACTATGCGTGTTGGTGGTTTAATATCCAATAATGTAAACTGGGTTCGAAATTTAGTCACAAGCTTCCGAATAGCTCCCTCAGAGGGCCGACGAAACTGCGTATAAATTGGAAGAAGTGCACGATGCACTTTCTTCACCGAGCATGAATTTTGATGATAAAATTCAATAATTTGCAAGCGTTGTTCGCTCGTAAGTCGATTCATGGTTAAATTATAGACCAAACTGAACAAGTTTGACAATGACACAAGACACGATTTACGCTTGATCTGTCAAAAACAGTGTTGCCAAAAGATACCAGCAAAAAAATCCCTCATTATTTTTCAAAATGCGTCTCGAAACGTTATAAATCGTAGTTACCTCGGCATTTGATGATATGTCCACTGCGAAGCTTATTTCAAAAAAGCTTTCTAGGTATGACAGTAAGCTGATTTATTCATCGATTTTCAAAAGTAACATGGTTGATGTTATATTGTGATTGTGTGTACTTTTTTGTATCATCGTTTTATTTTTACCTATATTAAGTTTTTATTATCTACTATTTTTATCAGTTCCTCAACGAGGTGCTTCGCTGGCATTCTGGCGGAGCATCGGTTCATCAAGACTTAATATTTGAGTTTTTGAAATTTTATTCAGTCTCATTTGATTGTTGCTGTTATATTGTTTATTTTGAAAGTATGTAAATAACTGTAAATATACACTTCGATGTGTTTCAATGCCCCGTATTGATTGTTCAGTAAATGGCTAGTGGATAGCTTGTCTTGAATAATGAAAAGATGCTGATGTTTTTATTTATAACCTTGAGGCCTTTTGAACTAGCATTTCAGCGCAATAATTTTTACGAAATTTGCACTTGTCTAGGTGGACCATATTCTATATCTAGTATTTTCGCATCTTTTCAATATTTTCGAGATGCTGACTGTACAGCACTTTTGATGTTCAAACGAAGTGAATCCAAATTTTGTACTGTGTACATTAGAAGAAAGTATTGACTGTTCATATAGCTGTTAAGTAGTAGTTACTTATCTCTTTAACTTTCCTTCGGCATTAGACTTGGAAATTATAAATAAGTGTACTGTATAATAATTTACTCAAGTAGATCTTAGATGTAATAAACGAAATAGATGAAGCTATAAACCATGTTTTACTTCAATACCTCCCCGGAGAAAAATAAACTACTCAAAATGATTATAGAGACACATCCTTAAAATCCAATTAGTAAAAAAATATGTGAATGTCACTAGTTCGGACTTCCATTTTCTAATATATAAAATGATTTGAAATCCCTGAAACAACTAAAAAAGAAGAATTAAAAATAAATAGCTGTAAATAACAAATATATTAACGTATTCAGATGTAGTTGATCGATGTTGAAAGGAGAAATGGTGGAGCAATAATATCATATACCTTATTATTTATTATAACTGCATGTTGATCATGATCAACATATCAGATAGAATGAACACATTTATAATTTGACAACTCAGATAGAGGAAGGTTGCCTAAATTGTATCTCTTTTTACATTTTATTTTTTTAACACCTTATAGGGAGAACCTGTGCAAAAATATACCGTAACCCTAAGAAGTATTGGTTATTTAGACAGGTAAATCTAAATTTTAGTATCTGATATGGTAATATTAGACTAAGGTGAATCACTTTTTGTAAAGCGATGCACTCGGTACGATTTAGGAAACCAGTTGCCCAAATCGTACCTCCAACTTTCTAAATGGTACCACCTTTGATAAAGTTAAAAATGAAGTGAATGAAACAATGAAATGGCAAGAATGGTTGAAGAAACTTTTATTCAATGCAGTATTTTCTCATACTTTTTAGATACAAAGTGTTTCTCTTGGTCTGTGTTTTATTAAGAACTATAGATACAATTTGAGCACACGAATTTCTTGATTTTTGCCTTAGAGCCGACACAACTTTCGTGAACCCATTTATCACAAAGCATGCACTGCACCATGTCCTCGATTGAATTTTCCTCACAAACCGAGCAAAACCAATCTTCAGATTCGATTTCAATGATGATGTCACTCTGGGCTGAAGTTCCAGCTTGGTTTAAGATTACTAGATTTGGATCTGTTTTTGAAATGACAGCCTTCTTTTGTTTTTTTCTTATCGGTGTCTCGGTCACTTTCATCTCTTCAGATAAAGGCCGTATTTTCATCTGGAGCTCTTTGACCTTCTCTTTAGCCAATTTCAGCTTGTGACATACTTCAATTTCCTTTTTGTAGGGGCTACTGGTTAATAAAACTACTTGTTGCACTTTTGAATTAGATCTGAGTTTAGATCCATTTCTCTTTTTGGGTGGTTTTGGAAGTGGAGACATTTCTTCGATCGAAACATTCCGTTTTGAAGTTAAACTTGTTGGCCTGTTAGGTGAGGTTGCTTCAATATCAAGAGTCTGATTTTCACCCAAGCAAGTTTTCTCTTGATCTGAACATTCACTGTTTTCTCGATTCTGATCTAATTGTGTTAAGATATTCTACAGGAAAAAAGTCTGACTATTTGAAGATGGAGGAGTCAACGGGCCACACACCACTACATTTGAATTCATTACACGAATTCTCAATCGTCGCAGCCTTACCAATTGCTTCAGTTACTTATTGTGAAATCTGGTATTGAGTGACTCTCAAGCCAGGATTTGTTCGCAGCCATTCCGCTTGGGCAAAGTAACTTTTGAAAGGCTTGAAAAATGACCTGTCTAATAGCTGCAGTCGGTACGTTGTGTGTCCTGGTAATTGCAGCATAATTACTCCAGCATCTCGAGCGATTACCAATGCTTCTAAGTTCTTAGAATGAGTAGAATGGCCATCAAGAAAGTTATGGGGTATTAATTTTGGTAACA